AAAAAGAAATGGCTTAACAGCTGGGAATAAAATAATCATACGTTGAAACTTACCATCCTAGTGTAAACAGCAATAATGGGAACGAAGAAGATGAGAAAAGGATCGGGTCGCCTTGACGATTAATGCGCTAGTTTTCTTATTTAGCTACCATCTTGGAATGCAGACAATTTGGCATATATATTCTTCATAATTCCAGTGAATGTAACCACTGGAAAGGTTTCTGAAGCAACCATCTAAAAGGAACAGCAAACTTCGAAAATCAGTGAATTACCTACTATTTACTATTTACTTGCTTACCAAGTCACCAACTCACGTTCTTAATAACGTCCCCAGTACCTTGCAGGTTTTATCCAATCATAAACTCCCGTGTACGTCTGCTTGCTTACTTCCTCACTTGTTGATCTACTGGCTCAACTGCTTCTTTACTATCTAGTATGCACGAATATACTCCTTCAACAACGTTTAATTATTACTGACGTCTAGATTTATAGTTACTCACACATTTACGTAATTACCCACTTACGTACTCATTGAATGAATAAGCACTTAACATATAAAAGTGCCTACTTACTTGCTTACTGATGCAGTTATAGATACCTGACTTTTGTTAAACGACTGCCGTTTGTGGCTCGTCTATATGTTCGACTCAGGTTACACAATCATCCGTTTATGCGTCGTTACATACTCTACGTGTTTATTCGTTGAACAATGAGTGAGGTAACTGCAAAAAGTAACTCTGAAAAATCAGTAACTACTATATGACGAAAACCAAATTATAAGGGATATCAGGTACTCGAAGGGTTTTACTGAGAATGATCTCATACACAACACTGCAGCAGCACGTCGATGACAGATTCACTATCTACTTACTGTCTAAGTTTTTGCCTTAAGTTTATGATTCGACCATTTTCTGATCAGAGAAGAGTTGGTTGCTTAGTCGGTAAAGTGGAGGACTCAGAACAGAGAGGTTCCGAGTTCTACCCACGGTCAGTGTCACTCGCTTTCCTTCTTTCCAACGTTGATAAATGAGTATCACTCTGTGGAAAGGAAACAGAAGACAACGCGCTATGCTTGCCATATGGCCATAGACTCTGCCTTTAAAAAATAAGGCATTTGTAACTGATAGCATGGAAATGGAGATCAAGGCATCACGATTAACTTCATGCAATGAATGGCATCAGAAATGGCAGCATTATGAAAATGTAACGACGACAGACATTCCAACGATTACAATGTCTTTTCTTTTTCTTTATCTTGTACTCACAGTAACTACAGTTGCTCCAGCGAATGAAACTGACTGATTGATCGACTCAGAACAGAAGACTTGCGACATTCAATTATATGATCCACTGAAATGAAACGTCATGCGTAATATAACCACTGGCACATAATCCATGAATGTGAATATTATTGGCGTCGCTGTTACCGTCATCCAGTGACAAAAAAGTTTGAACAACAGGGTCGCTTCAGAATCAGTTATCACCTCGGTAGGCACTCATATCTAAAGTTCAGACTAGACACTGGCTGCTGCTGAAAGGAAGGTCATATTGCTCGTAGTGAGCAAGCTTAAACAATGATAAGACGTTGTCCTTCTTTGAACAGTACACAAAAATGTAGACTATCAGTTGTGACCGATAGAACTTTTAAACAACTACTAAACCTTACCTATCTTTTCAACAATTTGAAATTCAAAACCAGAAAAATTACTCCAAAAGCAGAGGGCTCATATAAGGTGAAAAAGCTCCTTTGTCAAGGCTGAATAACTGAACCGGAAGTTACCCGTGCGGTCGATTGTCGCATAGCTCCAATGAGGCCAGATCAACCTGGTGCGCATAAAGTCGTAGCACCTGTTATTCTAGCCTTGTGCTTAAACGTTCAGTGCTGTACATCTTCCAGAAACAAGACGAGACAAAGGAGGAGGATGGAAAACCGTTACGAAAAGTTGTCCCTTCCAAAAACCTGCATTTGCCGGCTGAAATTTTCAACAACTGCTGATCCATCCTGTCTAATCTCAACAAAATGAAAATCCTTTTGTCGATTCCGCAAACGATTTACAACGCCTGCCTGCGTCATTAAAACCTGTGGCAGTCTTGATTGACTGCAGGTGGCAAAATCACCATCGCCTTGTCTCAGTTGTGCAGTGTTTTTCGTTTCCCAACGTTTGTAACTATCTTTTTCTGCTCTCTTACGACATGGCTACTTATCGCATTTCTTAGAGGACACGTAAGTAAATATGACGGAAGCTGTACAATGTAAGGAACAAGAAAACAAGCGCAAGTAAGGCATAGTCATACACCAGTTCGTTGATTCATTTATTCAGTAATTCACTGAGTTTTAACCGTGTTTCCTGAGATTTCAATAAGAATGGCACAATCAAAGAAAATAGATCCTAATGCCTCACGGTTATCGAAAGTACAAAAGAAATATATGGCGTTTCAGCTGTGATCGAGCGATTTATGAAAAGACCAAACAAGCGACTTTTCAGTCATCTCTTGATAATTGCACAAAGATCGAACGGCCAAATAAAGCATATTTTTTATTTCTCTTCTCAATTTTTTCCAATGCAAATTGCTTAAGTGTGTGACACGGTGTGCCATAAAATATTTTATTTAATCATTTATTTAACTCAGACGCCTCGGCTTCGGCACAGAAATCATCATCAGAGAAATTTTTTATATCCCAACGATACAATGTACGATTCAACAGTAAAAGGTTAAGAAAAATTAAGAAATAGCCGAACAAACAAATGTGCAACCAAATTTGAAGAGACTTTACAGAGGATAAACTGTCGGTTTTGAAACTGGCGTTCAAGGAGGTCCTGGAAATTAATGAGAATGTGTTCTTCATTTAGGCCAAATTATGTTTCCAAGCTGAAGAGACAGAAATTGAGCAGGTGTAATCACTGAGTTAAGTGAACTCTATAGAGGTTCTTTAATGAGCAGAACAAACCTGCCCTTTTCACAATCAAGGATGATGACGTTT